ACACAAGGAAGGGCTCCATGAATCACACTGGTCCTAGTGCTGTTGTCCAAGAACACCTGTTTTCAGCGACTGAACAAGTTTACTCGATGGCCAACCTGGGATCAAAGAAGACAGGGCTGCCAATGGTAGTCTGGGTGAGCCCCAAAAATGCACCTCACGGACCGCGTCTAAAAGTTTCACAACGCTATGGAGACAAAACCAGGGTAGGGGAGTGGTTCACTATGACCCTAGAGGACAAGCCAAGGGTTATAGGGGAACTTGGGCAGATAAGACAGGAGGACGTTGAGCTAGTCGAAGGATTTATTAAAAAGAACAAGTTGCTATTGTTAGCATACTGGGATCAGGACGAATATGTAGACACTTCAGACCTCATAGAGGGGCTCCAAAGAGTGGACAGTCAGTTGTAAGGATAGAAAGCGGACAAGACTGAAATTGGGAAGATGTGATGAGGAGAGATGTGGATATATATCTAGACACTATATGCATCGAAAACCAGCCATACCAGAACAGCCTCATGTGCAGTATCCAAGGGCAGCTCGAGATGTTCTTTTTGTGCAGAGGAGAGTCTAGATCTGATAACAGAAGGTCCAGTCACCCCGGTTTCCAAATTATCGTCCAGAGAGTGTATGTGGAATGTAGAATATGGAAAGGTGAAATTTGGAATGTAGAATGTAGAATCTCTGGATAGAAGCAATCGAAAAGTGCTGGCATGTCGCCCAGTTCTTCAACGTACCCCATATGGCGTCCAGCACCGCTCAGAGATTGACAAGTTGACGAGCATCTACGACAACAGGCACAATCCAACGATACGTGTCATGAAACCTAATAAGTACATACAAAGGGCATCGCGCTCCCCTACTTGGTTCCGATTCCGCGACCTTGCCATTGCCATTTCTAATGTCGCTGCATGGTCAGCAGACGCACTGTCGCGGCTACTGCTGAGAGTCCGTCCATTAGGAAATTGCAAGTACAGTTAGAAATTACAATTTTTTTCCTGAGTGTATATCAGAACGCACATTCATGGATCTCGTGGGAGTCAACTATGGCCGTCTTGCGTCCAATCCTCTCCCTCATGACGTAGCCATCCGAAAGATCAAGGATGTCGGTGCAAATGCAATCAAGCTCTTCGACAGCGACTCCGCTACTCTGGATGCATTGTTGAATTCGGGCCTCGTGGTCATGACTGCGATTCCAAACAGAGAATTGCACAAGTATGCTTACGACCCAGCAGCTGCACCGGCATATGTGTCTTTCATCAAGCGATACATCGAAAGAAACGTGCTCATTCAATACGTGGCAGTTGGCAATGAAATCACGGCAAGCTGGTTCGGGGGTCAATTCGAGCCCCTCATCATGCCTGCTTTGATCAACATACAGAAAGCCTTGGATGCAGGCGGTCTCAGGAACAGGGTCAAGTTGGTGGTGCCACTCGATCTCTCCATCCTGTCAGTCTCATACCCACCCAGCGCAGGAGAGTTCCGTCCAGAGCTAACTGGTCTCATGAAGGACCTGCTCTACTTCTTCCGACATAACGGGGGCTGCCCGTTCGTCATCAACATCTACCCTCAGATAACCAAGATCGAGAACCCCGGCATACCGCTCGACTTCGTCCTGCTCGAGGGCCAGCAGCATGGTTACTGGGACGATGGAAAGTTTTACAAGAACCTGCTGGAGGCGCAATTGGACGCGGTGTATCATGCGATCCGCAAGGTGGGCTACGAAACCGATAATCTGATGCTCGGCGAGATCGGCTTTGCGACCGGTGGGGCCGAGGTAGCCACCTTCGAGAACGCCAGACGCTTCCTCCGAAACTTTGTTAATCGGCGGCGAGACGGGACTCCCTTAATCAGGAAGAGTATCCCCGCCTTCCTCTTTGCCTTCATCGACGAGGACCTGAAGGACACCTGCGGAGGACGTACGGAATACGAGAGACATTGGGGGATTCACCACGCGGACGGAAATCCTAAACACGGCATCAGGCTTTGCTGATTCGCTGCCATCGTTGCGTCATTCTTCGACTTGGCTCCTTGAAGGTTGGCTTTTATTTTCCCAGTATATATTAGGCAATACATGCCTACAAACCCCGTCAGCAATGTAAAGCGTACGAGCTTATTCGCGGTTACGTTGCTTGCGATCAGCACTTTTCTCTCAGCTTCGGAAACCGACATCTGCCCTCTGATAAAGAACGAGTATACCGGACGAGCGACCTACTACGGCGATGCCACAGACAGTAACGTCGACTCTGGACACTGTGGCTTTCTCGGTCATTATGGAAAAGATGTCGCTGCGGTGTCCGAGGACCTGTGGGCGGACGGTCTCGCATGTGGCGCTTGCTTCCAGTTAGAATGTATCAACAGCACTGCATGCCATGCGGGCGTGAAACGTACGGTTACCGTGACCGACAGTTGCATAGGCTGTGGAGGATTTACGGACAAGGGCATCGAACCGGGTCAGCATTTCGATCTGAGCCGGACGGCGTTCACAGCCATCGCTGATGAAAGCGCCGGCTTTATCCAGGTGAAGGCTCGGAGGGTGGCATGCTCGGGTCTCTCGACCTCCGTGTACGTGCGGGGAACCGAATGGTGGTTGGAGGTCCGCTTCATGGGTCTGCCAGGAGAAGCAGGGAATGCGGAACACGTCACTATCACAGATCCTCAGGGGATAGTGAGGGACCTGGCAAAGAGTTGGGGCGGTGCGTTCGAGACGATCGGACAGAGACTGGAGGCCCCTCTGTCGTTGACCGTAGTGGATGGATTCAACAGCACGTGGTCGTTCCCAAATGCCATTCCTCGAGGGTGGACGAGCGACCGAGCTTTCGAGACTCAAACGGAAGCATCGCCGCGCGGGAGAGAGCTCTTTGCTGCAGGTGGGGTGGAGTGTGCGAAAAATGTTGCCTTTCAGGCTTCGGGACCCAGAGGGTCAGCCGAAAAGGCGATCGCACAAATGCTACAAGAAACCTCTTCTTTTGTATACGGTAGATGCAACTCCACGCATATGTGAAGGCCTTGAAGAGAGGGGGTCGCTCGGCGGGGCTCTGTGTCTTTAGAAGGGACCCCCTGCGGTCAACGTGTGAAAAGCTGCACGAGACGACTAGAGCCATCATTTCGACTCACGAAAATCTCCTGCGACAGATCAAACTCCTTGAGAAGGAGACCAGCAAGCTTTTGAAACGAATACGTACTCTCATCCTCAGAGGGAGAGAGCTCGTCGAGCAGCGCGAGGACTACAGGGTTCCGGAAGCCGAGAAAGAGAGAGAGATATTGAACGACTTTCGGGAATGCCACATGCCTTATCAAGCCGCACGAAACGCAAAATTCGAATGTTTGCAGTTGTCGAAAAAGATGTCGACGATATTTCTCGAGGTGGGAAAGCTTAAAGAGGATGTAAGGTACTTGAAGAAGAAAACGATGACAGGATTGCTAACACCATTTTGCGAAGATCTATGCAAAGAGAATTCGATGCTTGGAATGATGTCATCGGGTGTCGAACGCATGTTGCAAGACTTTGACGTGCTCAAAAAGTGCGTAGAAAGTGCCACGTGCAAAGGTAGTTTGGCCAGAGCTCTCCTCACGTTTTCCAACCTCGGCTTCGAAAGAGCGATAGACAGGGTGCAAGAGAGACTGTATTTCCTTCGGTTGTGGCAGGCCAGCGAGAGCTAGTTTTTTTCTCCACAAACTGGTAAAGATGGACGGCAGTTTTGCTTTGGGCTCTACGGGTGTCGATGCGACGGGTGCTCCTCTTATAGTATCATCAGCTACGTCTCCTCCCAAGAAGCCCGTGAACAAGGGGCTCCTGGTGGTTAGCCTCATCGTCTGGGTTATAGGAGGTTTATATGCTGGTTACCTGTCGTGGAGATGCAACAGCAATCATGGGTTTAACACTTTTGTAAAGGTAGTGTCCGCACTCTTCTCCTTCCTAGGCAGTTGGAGCTACTGCCTCACCTACCTACTCTACAAGTCTTGGACGTGCGATCCGAAAGCCAGCATGTCGAGGCTGGACATCACTGGACACGCTTGATTCTCGGACGGACCGTCCGAAATTTTTCGTCTACTTAGGAGAGGGTTGCTTTCTCACGATCGTCATTCCAACGATGGCGCCCAAGAAGAGCAGCGACTACGTCGTCCTCAGTCACACCGAGCACGTGCGTCTGAGACCGGACACATACTTGGGCCGGACCACTCCGGAGACGGCCACGCTCTATGTAGCGGACGGCCCCAGCAGCATAAGGCTGCGTTCGGTGTCTGACTTCGTGCCCGGGCTCTACAAGATATTCGACGAGGTGCTGGTCAACTGCATCGACCAGTCCAAGGTAGACGACAGTCTCACCAAGATCAAGGTTTCCATAGACCAGGAAGCAGGAAAGGTTACTGTGTACAACGATGGAAGAGGCATTCCGGTAGAGAAGCATCCGAGCATGACGGACTGCTTCACTCCCGAAGTGATATTTGGAGTCCTGCTGCCCGGTTCCAATTATGACGACAGCGTGGAGCGGGTGGTGGGTGGGCGCAACGGTCTGGGGGTCAAGCTCACGAATATCTTCTCCACACTGTTCGAATTGGAAGTGGTGGACTCGGAGAGGAGCCTAAAACTCACGCAAAAGTGGAACAAGATGCAGAGGAAAGGAGAACCAAAGGTGACCCGTCTGAGAGAGAATCACAAGACTGCGAGCTACGTGAAGGTGGCATTCGTCCCGGATTTGTCCTATTTCGGAGTGGAGAGGCTGAGCGATGCACTGGTGGCTTTCTTCCACAAGCGAGTTCTGGACGCCGCTGCTTGTACGCCCGAGAGGGTCGGCGTGTATCTGGACGGCAAGAAGGTCGGGGTGAAGTCCTTCAACGACTACGTTTCCATGTACATAGGAAGACCGTCCGAGTCTCCTCGTGTGGAGATCGATGCGGGACCTCGTTGGAAGGTCGTCCTGGCGAGAGCTCCAACGACGGAGGATGCAGAAGAGTATCGCAGCGGCGACCTGCAAGTATCCTTCGTCAATGGGGTGCTGACGGCTGGGGGAGGGACGCACGTGGAGCACGTGATGAGCCTCTTCTTGAAACAGGCACTCTCCCTCTTGGATGCCAAGGCAGGCAGTGGAGTGGCGGGCGCCCTCAGGAGTGCGCTTCTCCTCTTCGTAGACGCTACCCTGGTCAATCCGACCTTCGACAGCCAGACTAAAGTGAGGCGGCGTGCGGCAGGATCTCTTCTTCCTCCGACCCGAGCACTCTAGTCTGCCTTAGTACGTCGCAACGCGGGACGGTCATGA